GTGACTTAAACTGCAGAAGGGGCTACCCCAAGTACGGGTCTCCCCTGCCCATCAGCCAAATAATGGACAGATCTCCTACACTCTCATTTGTCGATACGGGCCCAAATCTGAGAGTAGAGACAGGGAGAACCCTTATACTTTACCATTAGGGCTGCAAGCAAGTGAGTGCATCTTCAAGTGAGTGCATGCAGAGCCCCAGATCCAGTGTCCCTCAACATTAACAGCCAGCCATCAGATCCCTCCCACCCACACCCCCACTCTGGGCAACATAGGGATCCTTGGGACAGTGTTCTCAACATTGAAGTCTCTATTCTGTGGATCTTCCAGTGGAGTCCAGGCAAACAATTCCTGGAGCACAGACAGATCTGAATAACAGGAAAACAGTACTACAGGCCTGTAACCCACTGAGGCATTAAGGGCACCTGTACACTTACATTGTGCCTGCCAACAACTCCAGCACTCGAAACACCTCAGAAAATTAAGCTCCAACCTTCCAGGCATCTACATGCTCTAACAACCTGTCCTTCAAGGCTCACTTCCATACACACATCCACGCTTGTGCACATGTGCCTGCAACCTTCCTCCCTTAGCTATAGCTGAAACACCAACATCTACTCTCAAACCAATGGATCTCTCTCATCTTCCTGAAGAATACTCTAGACACCAAAGACAGACAGACCAACCCTGAAAAACAGATTCCAGGAACAACAGTGAAGGTTACAGATAAGCAGATGGCTAAAGGTCAGCATAAGAACATATCCAACAACAATCAATACATCATGACTTCACCAACAACCCCCAAAATCAATGGATATTTTAATTCATCGGAAAAACAGTAAAATTATTTTAAAATTATGTTTATCCAGTTATTACAGGAACATAAAGACGAAAGGAACAAAGCTCTCAAAGAAATACAGTCAAATACAGCCAAGCCAATAAAGGAACAAGTAGAGGCAAAAGTAGTGGAATATAGAGAGGAAACAAACAAACAAAAAAAAAAAATAGAGGCCATGATAGAAAGACAGGAATCCACATTCAAACAGATGAAGGAAATGGTGAAAGGCATGAAAACAGAATTAGAATCAATAAAGAAAACACAAACAGAGAAAATCCTGGTGCTAGAGGATTTAGCGAAAAGATCAGAAACCACAAAAGTAAGCATCTCCAACAGAATACAATAGATGGAAGAGAGAATCTCAGATGCTGAAAATACAATTGCAGAAATTGATACATCTCTCAAAGAAAAAATAAAATCAGAAAAGTTCCAAACACAAAACATCCAAGAAATGAAGGACACCATGAAAAGACAAAACTTAAGACTAATAGGAATAGATGAAAAAGAAGATTCAAGGCTCCAAGGTCCAGAAAATATTCTGAAGAAAATCATAAAAGAAAATTTTCCTAACTTAAAGAAAGCGATGTCCATAAACGTAAAAGGGGCTTACAGAACATCAAATATAGTAGACCAGAAAAGAAACTACTTATATAATAGTCAAAACAATAAATCTACAGAACAAATATATATATATATATATATATATATATATATATATATATATATATGGCAGCAAGGGAAAAAGGCCAAGTAACATAAAAAAGTTGACCTATCAGAATCATACCAGACTTCTCAACTGAAACTATGAAAACCAGAAGGGCTTTGGCAGATGTCATGCAGACTCTAAGAGACCACAGATGGCAACCCAGACTACTATACCCAGCAAAGCTTTCAATCAACAAAGATGGAGAAAACAAAATATTCCATGACAAAACTAAACATAAACAATATCTACACAGCAACCCAGCCCTACAGAAGATACTAGAAGGAAAACTCCAATCTATGAAAATAAACTACACCCAAGAAAACACAGGATATAGATAACTTCACAAAAAAAAATTAAGAGAACACAAGCATAGAAACACAGTAACACCACCAACTTGACAATAAAAGGAACTGACATTCACTGATCAATATTATCTATCAACATGGGTGGACTCAACTCTCCAATAAAAAGACAAAGACTAACAGAACGGTTGCGGAAACAGGGTCCAACATTCTGCTGCATCCAAGAAACACACCTCTGCAACAAAGATAAATACTACCTAAGAGTAAAGAGCTAGAAAAAGGTTTCTCAAGCAAACGGATTCAGAAAACAAGCTGGGGTAGCTATCCTAATATCTAATAAAATAGAATTTCAACCAAAATTAATCAAAAAAGATGAGGAGGAGCGCTCTATTCTCATCAAAGGAAAAATCCACCAGGAAGACATCACAATCCTGAACATCTATGCCCCAAATATAAGAGCACCTGCATTAGTAAATGAAACATTATTATATATTAAATTACACATGGATCCCAACACCTTAACAGTGGGAGATTTCAACACTCCACTCTCACTGAGGGACAAATCATCTCGACAGAAGATAAATAGGGAAATAATGACACTTACAAAGGTCCTCAATTAAATAGACCTAATAAATGTCTACAGAACATACAATGGAAAAAAGACAGCATCTTCACCAAGTGGTGCTGGTCTAACTGGATGTCTACATGTAGAAAAAATGAAAATGCATCCATATTTATTACCTTGCACAAAACTAAAGTCCAAGTGGATCAAAGACCTCAACAAAACTCACTGGCACAGGAGAAAATTTCCTAAAGAGAACACCAACAGCACAGGCTCTAAGATCAACAATCAATAAATGGGACCTCATGAAACTGAAAAGCTTCTGTAAAGCAAAGGATACTGTCATCAAAACAAAACGACAGCCTACAAACTGGGAAAGGATCTTCACCAACCCGATGTCTGAAAGAGTGCTAATATCCAGAATACATAAAGAACTCAAGAAGTTAAAAAGCAACAAATCAAGTAATCCAATTTAAAAATGGGGTACAGAGTTAACAGAGAATTCTCAGTTCAGGAATACCAAATGGCAGAGAAACACTTTAAGAAATGCTCAAGGTTCATAGTCATCAGGGAGATGCAAATCAAAATGCCTCTGAGATTTCACCTTACACCCATCAGAATGGCCAAGATCAAAATCTCAAATGACAATACTTCCTGGAGAGGATGTGGAGAAGGGAAACCCTCCTCCATTGCTGGTGGGAATGTAAACTTATTCAACCAGTTTGGAAATCAATCTGGCACTTTCTCAGACAATTAGGAAGTGTGCTTCTTCACCTAGAACCCATGCACATTTGTAGCCCATGGCAGCTCAGTGCCCAAGTAAGTTCCATAGTAATCGTAACAAAGTGTGTTTCTGACATGGACTGATTGGCCTGCTCCTTGATCGCCTCTCCCTGGGCAGTAGGGGGGTAGCCTTACCAGGCCACAGAGGAAGACAATGCAGCCACTCCTGATGAGACCTGATAGACTAGGATCAGAAGGAAGGGGAGGGAGACCTCCCTTATCAGTGGACTTGGGGAGGGGCATGGGTGGAGAAGAGGGAGGGAAGATGTGATTGGGAAGGGAAGAGGGAGGGAACTATAGGTGGTATACAAAGTGAATTAACTGTAATTAATAAAAATAAAAATATATATCAAAAAAAGATCCACCTTTACCACTCGTAGGCATTTATTCAAAATATGCTTAAATACACAACAAAGACATTTGCTAAACCATGTTCGTAGCAGCTTGATTCGTGATACCCAGAACCTGGAAACAACCCAGATGTCCCTGAACTGTAGAATGGATACAGAAATTGTGATATATTTACACAATGGAATACTACTCAGCAATTAAAAACAAGTAAATCATGAAATTTGCAGCCAGATGGTGGGACCTAGTAAAGATCATCCTGAGTGAAATATCCTAGAAGCAGAAAGACAGACATGGTATATACTCACTTATAAGTGGATATTAAATATACTAAAATCTGTATACATAAAGAAGCTAAGCAAGGAGGAGGACACTGGGTAAGATGATCAATCCTCATTCAGAAAGGCAAATGGGAAGAAATCGGAAGAGGGAGAAAACAGGGAGCAGGACAGAAGCCTACCACAGAGGGCCTCTCAAAGACTCTACCAGCAAGGTATCAAAGCAGATGCTGAGGCTGATAGCCAAACTTTGGGCAGGGTGCAGGGAATCTTGTGAAAGAAGGGAGAAATAGAAAGACCTGGAGGGAACAAGAGCTCCACAAGGAGAGCAACAGAACCAAAAGATCTGGACACAGGGGTCTTTTCTGAGACTGATACTCCAAACAAGGACCATGCATGGAGATAACCTAGAACCCCTGCACAGACGTACCCTAGTAAGGGGAACACAGACTGTCACTGACATGAACTCAGTGGCTGGCTTTTTGATGACCTCCCCCTGAGGGGGGAGCAGCCTTACCAGGCAACAGAAGAAGACAGTGCAGCTAGTCCTGATGAGACCTGATAGGCTAGGGTCAGATGGAATGGGAAGAGGACCTCCCCTATCAGTGGACTTTTGAAGGAGAATGGAAGGAGAAGAGGGAGGGAGGGTGGAATTGGGAGGGGATTAGGGAGATGATTACACCTGGGATACAAAATGCATATACTGTAATTAATTAAAAAAACAAGTAAATATTACAAATTTTTAAAAAGATCCATTAAAGTGGTACTCACACACACAAACACCCCTCTGTAAACTCAGTACTTCAGAGGCTGAGACAAGAAGATAATGAGTTTAAGGTCAACCTGAACTTTAAAGGCACCAAAACACTGCTATTTATAAGTAACTCTTAAACTCTTATAATAAGTAATACATCTGACCTACAAAAGAGTGATTCCTTCGGCAAAAGTTTTCACCACTAGAAAATGTTCTGTGATTAAATAGGTTTCATCTTTATAACTCTACACATAAAGGTATTTTTTTTTAATATTCACATAAGGGATGCAGACTAGCAAGCTGTGGGCATCTATCCAGTAACCTACCCTATGGACACCAAAGAAAGACCCACTGCTATAGCTCAGCTTTCTTCGTTCTCTTGAGCACATTAACCACCCTCCCCAGCACTCTGATTTCCCCTCTATGACTCACCCCCCATCAATGGGTTCGACAGGAATCTGAGATGAGGAGAGCCTCTTAGCTTGCCCCTCCTGCCCCCCTTTTCACCGTCCATGGTACTCTCTTGGTCAGCAAAGATTACATTCCACTTTGGTTGCTCAGAAAAAAAACGAATGTCATGCTGGTTCCCCTGGGAAATTCCAGTTGTGTGGTTGGTTGAACTGCACCGGTCTTGGTCAGGCAGTCTGTAGCAGAAAACAGCACAAGCAGGGTAATGTGAGTACTAACGCTGGTCAAACAGATTCTCGTGTGTGCACACACACACACACACACAC